GCTGGATCACTATTTATAGGGCAGTTAAAAGGGGGCAAGGAGGTGTTAGGTTGCCCATTTTAACCTCTAATAGCCAATACCACCACACATGCAATGTGCATAGTTTTGTATGCTTTTTTCCCTCTGTTTTCACCTAGTGATCTGGGCAGCAACACACCTCCTGTATTAGCATGCCCCCACTCCGGAGGAATGAGCACAGGAGGCACCTTTGGACAACAGTATTGTTATTCTAGGAGGTGACAACTGTTAGAAGGACTAGCAGATTTAAATACACTAACAAATTGAAGCCAACCTTCAGCTCTTTATAATCAGCTGCAGCAAACTGCTTTTTGAGATAAAGATTTTACATGATTAAATAACAGCTGATCATTGTAAGCATCTCTGTTAGTGTTAATGGTTTGTCTCATCCCTGTAAACTGATACATCTGCAAGAAAGCTTGTTCTTTTGAAAAACAATAAATTTAATGGCTTGGCCACCAGATGAAAATACTGTAGAAGAAAAAAAGACTAAAAAAGAAAAGAAATGCTGCCACCACATCTACGAATTGATAAGCTGGTATGTAATACTGTAAATGTTTGTTTTGGGGTTTAATACCACTTTAAGCACAGATCTTAAAAGGATTGCATGCTGCCACTTTAATCTAGTTGCTAGAAGGCTTCAATAGGCTTCAGCATGGTTTGAAACCTTCTTAAAGCCAGCTGCTGGATGCCTGTTTTAAGGCTAAGTTCACCTTTATAAACTAAAATAAATTTAATTTTTGCAGAAAAAAATATTATATATTTTTTTCTCCACAGGAGCCTACAAAGCATTGTAACTTGAATTAGTGGATGCATCAGTGATGTTAGGCTTCTGAAAACACTTCCTCCAGCTCCTTGCCCATATCTCTGTACAGACTTTCAGTAACTGAGCTGGAGGAAGTGTCAATGAACTATGAGTGCGGTGATCAAAGCTATGATATATCACATTTCCCGCTGCAGATACATTACAAATACAATTTAAGATTTACTGTTAATCCCCAAAGTGCACTTTTTATGCACATACTATATTGCGTAGTATTTTTATGTATAGATATGTATATGCATATAAACTTGACTATTTACAACCTAATTTGTGGCAAATTATTAATTGTTATAATGATAACTGTAAAATTATAAATTGTTATAATTTGTTATAAATCTGCTCAATAAGTGCAAAAAATACCAGTTGATCATATCAGAAATTCAGAGCTGTCCTGTCTCAAGGAGACCAATTAGCCCTTAAAGTGTTACTAAACCCAGGACCCTGCATTCACTATATCTGGTCTCCCACAGTACACACAACATGGAAATGCAATTATTTAAATAAATATAGACTGCGAAATACCTTTTCTCATCAGCAGTATATAGGAGTCTTGTGACTTCTACCAGTGTTCAGCAGAGCACTGGTTAAAGCTTGTAGGAGGAGTTTTTTTCTGCTCTATGAGGCTGCAGGACCCCTGACCTCTGTCTTGATAGTGCTGATTGGCCCTGTGCTGATCACATGCACACTCCCAAGAAAAAAATATCCTCTCTAGCAATACACACCAAACTGAACATGTGCAGATTGACTCCACACGGTATATCTTATCAGGTGATAAGAGGGGGACACTGGAAGAAGGGGAGGATCAAAGAAGTCAGGATCAAACAGCATTTTTACACAATGCAGAGGATTAACCCCTTAGGTTCCACAGTGAGTATAACAAGCATGCTTTACTGCATATACAGACTGATTTTACTGTTGTGGGTTTAGTAATACTTTAAGTTCTTGTCTTGGACTACGGAACAATCAGTTCCTATGGCCCTTTCAGATGGGGTGGACACCATCAAGCGGATCCACCTGCTCAGTAGGGGATTTCTCCACTGATCCCAGTGGAGCAGGCGAATGACAGGTCTGTGTCTGCTCCGCAATGCAGAACAGACACAGCCCGCTGTTTTCAATGGGGCAGTCAGATAGAAACGGACCGCCTGTCCGTTTCCATCTGACTGTCATCCGATCCACTGGACATATGGGGAGCAGATCCCTATCCATTTTTTTGTGGCATACATGATTGTATTGGATACCGGCAGATGTCAGCAGACACATGTCTGCTGACACCTACCGCTCCATAGACAACTATGGATTGTCCGATTGGGTCCGCCTGAAAAACTGACAGGTGGATGGCAGTGTGAAAGGGGCCAATGTTGTAAAGATGAGGAGCTATATGGTAGTTTAGATAAAGACAACTGGGAAGGGCTGACACCATTCAGTACTCAAAATTCTGTGTGCTGTCAGCCCACATCACTTAATAGGGGTTATGTTCTGGCAGATTAATAGGCATTTCTACTTACAAGGTCAGTAAAGAGATAAAATGTTGGGAACCACGCATGTATTGCAGATAATATTTAAATTTTGCCCTCAAATACACTTTTATTATTGATTGTCTTTCTTCGTCTTTCTAAAATAAAGGGTCAGATGACCAACGTTGTGCCAAGAACAAGTATTATGTTTGAAAACATTAGTGCTAAAATAAGACCAAAATTAAGAGATAAAATGTCCTTTTTTATTGGCAAACCTTTCACCCCCTGATATTAAGAATTAGAAGAGCAGATATCAGTAAACGACCACCAAAATCCACATTGTTGATATCCAGATTTGACGTTATCCTCAAACTTATCCATTCTATCAACTGCAATGTCAAGCAAGCTTCTCATATTTGCTATTTTATTGAATTTGTTGGTGGCACGATTAAATGTGTAGCTTACACAGACCTTTGCTTTGCCCCCGTGATTGTTTTGATTGTCATCAATCTAGGAATTTTCTTTATATCAATCAAATATATAAACGCCATGCCCCCAAGGCAAGACTGTTTATTGATATAAATTCTGTAAAAAGTTTTGAAATATATTAAAAGTTATGTTATTATATTATAGAGTTTACATTTTAAACAAATCAGAGACAAGTAATAACCTTTGAAAAATGACTACACTTAATTTAATTTAACATCAACTGTAAACATAATATAAGATTACATTGTTATTACTTTGAAATTGAGGTGAAGCATGTCGTAATAATAAAAATAAAACAAAAAATATTGGCAAAATTGGGAAATTTAAATAAAAATATGATATGTTGGTGGAAGACTGCCAAAAGAGATTTCTGGAAATGAGTACATTCAACACCTTTAATCCAAATAATGTATTGTCTTTTTCCTTTGTAGTCAGTAAATTACGATGAATGGTAAAACAATACTGAAGACCAAGCAAAAGCCTCAAATGCTTCTAGCGTGGTACTTTGAAAAATCTCCATAATAGAAAAATGTCAGATGTTCTCAATTTACAGCTGCGTACGAAACCGCAAAAAGTTGGTACATTTCCCTTTTTGGGTCATTTGGATTTAGCTAAAATTCTGTTAAAATTTAAGGGGTTTAAGAGGTTTTCAACTTTTAAAAAGTGCCAAACCACTTCCTTTCTCAACTACTGGTCATCTGTTTAAATACTTCTGTTGGGACTACAATCATTTAAGACCTCGGTAATCAATATATTGGAAGACAACTGAGCACATTCTCGAGTTTCATCTGCCAGAAGGAAGAAACTGAATTGGTAACAATAATGACTGGAAGGCTACTATATAGTTGGTATTTAGTACAAAAGGTGTTGTTCTTAGTAGCTTTCATAGAATGTAGTTTTACCCTTTTTTTAGTTAAATGTAGAACCAATCCTAGCAAGAGGGAGAAGAAAGAGGAACCTTTTCCGAAAAGCGTCAGATCCTTCCTGATGGCTATATCCAGACTGATCAGGCCACTATAGGTGGATTCTACTGGTACAACCGCTCCTTGTAGCTGAGCACTAATTTCACATTGTAAGAACCCATGTCAGTGTTATTACTTTTTCTGGACAGCTTGACTTTGTACAAGATGTGTAAAAAAAAGTGGACTTCCTGGCAGGATCAACAAGTAATAAAACTGTTCTGTGAAGGATTTGATAGATGACACTAATATACATCTATACTGCACACCTCATATCTAGTAGCCTGAACTCAGGATAGGCTCCTAGAGAAACTGTCCTAGCTGTTCGTATTTCCTAGTCATAACCCCACCATTCCCCCTTTTTTCTCTTTTCTTTCTAGATTTTCTCATATACATTTTAAAAATATCTCACACTGTACCCCTACTGCGTCAGTGAATGGAATTTGCCCACTTGTCAATATGAGCTTTTTAAACAAGCTTTCACAGATTTTGGGTGCATGCCTAATCCACAGCCATAGACTTTCTATTTACATAGTAGTATTGTATAATGTGGAATGTAGACATTATGTTCATTTATGTAAGATACTGTTACCTCGATTGTATTCATCTGTTCATTGTCTGGCTGACTGCTGAAGTTAAAGAATTAAAAAAAAAAGTTGAAAATCCCTATACTTTTACTTCTTTATCCTGTCAATTGACAGGAAAACATTTTATACAATAAAAGTACCATTAGGGGCTTGTTCCTACCCAGTGCAATCCCAACACTTACGCGATGCATTTGCCCTATGCCCTATTGCAGCCTTTCTCAACCAGGGTGCCCAGGCACCCTGGGGTGCCTTTAGTTTTCTTTAGGGGTGCCTTGGCAAAATGTCTAAAAATTTAACAAAACTTGTATACAAGCCAGCAGGTGCAACAAGCCTGCCTTTTAGTTACACAAAGCCACAGGTTTTCATTGCGCACCATTACGATCATCTAGCCGCCGGCGTCCTGACAGCCAATAACATCATCAGTTGATAAGGAGGTTGTCAGTCGCCTGCACAGCATCCTAGTTTGATCATCCCCTGCCCCTCTCCGTCAGTGCTGAGATCACATTAGCTGAGTGATGGAGAAAAACTGAGGGAGAAGAGAAACATCAGAATACTAGTCAGTACCAGTGTGCAGAAGTGTATTTGCTTTGCTTTGAAAGAATCAATCACTTCTAATGTTGGGTGTCCTAAATGTGTGTATGTTGCTGCGTTATATAAAACTATTAGAATCATTTTTCACATTTGGGGTGTCTTGAGACTGTCCATAACTTTAAAGGGTGCCTCAGGACTGTTCATAATTTTAAAGGTGCTTGGACTGTCCATAATTTTAAAGGGTGCCTCGAGACTGTCCATAATTTTAAAGGGTGCTTCGGGACTGTCCATAATTTTAAAGGGTGCTTCTGGACTGTCCATAATTTTAAAGGGTGCCTCGAGACTGTCCATAATTTTAAAGGGTGCTTTGGGACTGTCCATAATTTTAAAGGATGCTTTGGGACTGTCCATAATTTTAAAAGGGTGCTTCTGGACTGTCCATAATTTTAAAGGGTGCTTCGGGACTGTCCATAATTTTAAAGGGTGCTTCTGGACTGTCCATAATTTTAAAGGGTGCTTCAGGACTGTCCATAATTTTAAAGGGTGCCTTGACTGAAAAAAGGTTGAGAAACACTGCCCTATTGTTTCAGTTCACACCAATGCTTCATGTGCACTGAAAAAAAAGTAGGACAGGTTGCATTTTTGCACACTGCTGTGCATAGAGTTACATGAATGTCAAGTTGAGAAAAGTTTAAAAAAGCAAGCACTGCAATGAGCTTTACAAGAGTGTGTGCACAATATACACCAGTGGGCACGAGTTATGCACACTTTAACCACTTGTGGACTGCCTACTGCAGTTTTACTGCGGCAGTTCGGCACCACTGCACTGGATCACGTATATGTACAGTACATGATCCAGCACTTCCAGGAAGGAGGCACAAGTGCATGCCTGCCACGTGATCTGTGCTGTCATTCACTACAGCACAAGTCGGTCAGCAGGTCCCGGCCAATGATTTATGGCCAGACCTGCTGATTTGCTTAGAGAATGACAGTACAGAGCCCTGTTTTTACTAAGAACACTGGGCTCTGTACACATGAGCAGACACATTACACAATGTTAGACACACGGTTAACCCTTTGATTGCCCCTAGATGTTAACCCCTTCCCATCCAGTGTCATTTGTACAGTGACAGTGTATAGCATTATCACTGATCGCTCACTATATTAAAGTCACTGGAGATGTCAGTGTCAGTTAGTCAGTTCCTGCCCAGTGTCAGATTGCCCGCTGCATCACAGTCCCACTATGAGTCGCTGATCGCCGCCATTGCTAGTATAAAAAAAAGTTAAAAAATGTAAATTCCAGTATATATACAGTACTAGCATCTGTAAATACTATAACTTTCACACAAACCAAGCAATATACACTTATTGGGATTTTTTTTATATCAAAGACCTATAGCATAATGCATTTTTGCCTACATTTCTGAAGAGATTTGATTTTTTACATTTTTTTATTGGATATGTTTTATAGCAGAAAGTAAAAATATAGTTTTTTTAAATCTGCAGGTTTTATTCGTTTATATAATTTAAACAATTTTAAAAACCCAGTGGTGATCAAATATTGCCAAAAGAAATACCTATTTATGTGAAAATAAATTATATAAGTTTCATTTGGGTACAGTGTTGCATGACTGCACAATTGCCAGTTAAAGTAGAGTAGTGCCACATATCAAAATGTGCCCTGGCCACGAAGAGCTGAAAATCTTCTGGAGCTTAAATGGTTGAAGTGTGGCCACAGGTATGAATGAGCCCTAATATTGCTATATCACCAACATGGTTATAGTTTTTGAAGCGTTAGAGTTCATTTGTATTGTCAAATGTCCAACCATTTAGAAAATGGCATGTAGATCATTTAACAAGAAACTAACTAGCCACGTTCTTGGATAAAGTTGACTATCCTAGATCTAAAGCAATCTTTTTCTGGTAAGTAATAAAACAAAGCTTTTGTTGTCCTGCAAGTCAAGACACCAAAATCCAGTATACAAACTTACGTTTTCACCCAAAGCAAGCAATTTTGGCTTAATTAACAAAATGCAATAATGATGTAAAATCATGGAAAATACCCACTACATAGGAAGAGAGTGTACATTGCCACAGCCCAATGATAGGCGAAAAGACAAACTGGAGGGAAAACCCTAATTGAAGGTGGGACTTTAACTGCCTCTCGCCTGCCATATGAGGAAATTATGGATGGGCGGTGTAGCAATCATGCACACAGAGATTGACGCGGTCATCCTTTTTGCTCCAAACCCCTCCATCTTGTATCTCTCTCTCCCAAATCAGATTCCTCCATCATCCCCCCTCCCTCTCTGTTGAGTGACATGTGGTGTGTTTGTTGCAGAGATCACAGGCAGCAAACTCATTGGGAGGGTTTTCCTGGCTATAAAACCCTAGCCGAGCTGGTGCCTAAATGCTTGTTAGCTTTGCAATCTGGGATATTATTATTATACAGTATTTATATAACGCCAAAAGGTTTGCTCAGCACTGTACATAAAAGTGGGGGACAGTACATGAGAGAATACAGTAAAAATACAATACACAACGTGTTCGAGGGCCCTGCTCTTTCGAGCTTACAATCTAGGAGGGAGGGGGTAGAGGTACAGGAGGAAGTGGCTGTGGGGGATGGAGTGGTAGGAGGAGTGGAGAACGGCTGTTAGGTGAAGGTGGGGTAGGCTTCCCTGAAGAGATGGGTTTTCAGGGTGCGCCTGAAAGTGAGGAGGGTAGGTGATAGTCTGATGGATTGGGGTAGGGAGTTCCAGAGGATGGGGGAAGTCCTGGAGAAGTCCTGAAGTCAGGCGTGGGAGGAGGAGACCAGGGAGCTGGGGAGTAGGAGGTCTTGTGAGGAGCGAAGGGCACGGGTAGGGTAGTATTTGGGTATCAGGTCAGTTAGGTAGTTTGGGGCGGCATTATGAATGGCTTTGTATGTCAGAGTTAGTAATTTGAATTTAATGCGTTGGGCAATCAGGAGCCAGTGAAGGGATTGGCAGAGGGGGGTGGCAGAAGTGGAGCGGTTGGTGAGGTGGATGAGTCTAGCCGCTGAGTTCAGGATAGGCTGGAGCGGGGATAGCGTGTGTTGGGGTAGGCCGGTGAGAAGGGAGTTGCAGTAGTCTAGGCGTGAGATAATAAGGGAGTGTATGAGTTGTTTAGTGGAGTCTGGGGTGAGGAACGTACGTATCTTGGAGATGTTGCGGAGGTGGAGCCTGCATGAATTTGATAGTGATTGGACATGAAAGGTTTGAGTCCAGGGTGACACCTAGGACTTTGGCATGTGGGGTAGAATTGATGGTGGCGCTGTTAGTCGTGATGGAGAGGATGGGGGGGGGGGGGGCGTGGGCTGGGGGGAAAACTAGGAGCTCTGTTTTGGAAAGGTTTAACTTGAGGAAATGGAGAGACATCCAGTCTGATATGTCGTTTAGGAGGTGGGTGATGTGGGCAGAGAGTGAGGGGGTGAGGTGAGGGGTGGAGAGGCCAATTTGTGTGTCATCGGCATAGAGGTGATTGTTGAAGCAGTGGGAGTGTATCAGTTTGCCAAGGGAGGAGGTGTAGATGTAGAAGAGAAGGGGTCTGAGGGCAGAGACTTGGGGGACCCCAACAGAGAGGGGGAGAGAGGGGGAGGTGGCAGCATTATAGGTAACGCTGAAGGAGTATTGGGATAGGTAAGAGGAGAACCAGGAGAGAGCAGAGTCCCTGATGCCAAGGGAGTGCAGTTTAGTAAGGAGGAGGGGGGGTCGACTGTGTCGAAGGCCGCGGAGAGGTCGAGGAGTAGGAGGACTGAGTAGTGGCCATTAGCTTTGGCGGTTAGCAGGTCGTTAGTGATTTTAAGTAGGGCATTTTCGGTGGAGTGTAGGGGACAGAAGCCAGACTGTTGTGGATCAAGGAGGTTGTTGTCAGTGAGGTGGGCGCTTAGGCAATTGTAGACTAATCGCTCAAGGAGCTTAGAAGTGTGTGGCAGCAGTGAGATGGGTCTAAGGTTGTTCAGGTCAGTGGGGTCTAGGGAGGGTTTTTTGAGTATGGGGGTGATGTGCGCATGCTTTAGGGGGGAGTTAATTATGGTAGTTAATTATGTTCATGTTATTACAGTCAGATAATAAAAGGTAAATATGATTGGTTGCCATGGGCAGTGATCTTTGCACTTCTTTATTAAATAAGCTTGTAAGCTTTGTGTGCATAGGTATGCCATACTTGCTGTGTAGTTCCTGTGGATTGCCTACACCCAGGGGCGGATTGACAACTCACGGGGTCCCCGAGCAATAAGGGATCATGGGGCCCCTGTGTCCTTGCCTAAACTCAAAAAAGCTTATGAAAAAGGTACCAGGGGCATCACATGGGGCCCCCTACTGACCCCGGGCCCTCGGGCAGTGCCCGAGTTTCCAAATGGTCAGTCCGCCCCTGCCTACACCTGAACATTTGACGAAGGTGTATGGTTATTTTCAATAAGAAATGCATAATGCACACTCTTTCCAGACCTATTTTTGTGTAGTTTGCAGTGAGCTTCTAGGTTTCATTGCCAAAGCTTAATTGAACAAGCTGAGGTTAGAAGCTTATTGTTTTTTATACAGAAGTGTGCCAGCATTCTCCAGCTTTAGTAAATAAATCCCACTCATTGTTGATGGGGGGAATCCGTACCGCAGTGCTATTGTAGTCCAGCGGCACTAATTGTTCAGGTAAAACCTGTATACAACCAGGTGGTGCCCATACAAGGATCAGAATTTGGTCTGTCCCTGCGAACTGCCTGAATTTTGATCCTAGTATGCAGGGGTGTCCCTAGGAAGGTGCGGGGGGGGTGCGCGCTGCACTGGGTGACACCTACCCCACGGGGTGACACCGGACCTGGTAAGTTGTAAAGCAGCCAGATTGGGCATAATGGATTGGAGTCCGATCCATTATCCTCCCCAATCCACAGATCCGATCCATCCTGCGGGGATCGTCGGCATGCTACCTATACGGAGTTAACTGATCTCTCCATGAAAAGGTCATTTTTTAAAGCAAGCGGATCCATTATACTCCCCAATCTGCAGATCCGATCCATCCTGCAGGGATCGTCAGAGGGGGTGTCACCAAGTGTTACCGCACAGGGTGACATCAACCCTAGGGACGCCCTTGCTACTATGGCTGGCTTTAGTATTTGTAAAGGGACGTGAGAAAGTTTTAGAACATACTGTGACATGGAAGAGAGAAAGAGTGTATCAAAAAGAGTCCCACCATAGACTACTTAGCCTCCTCTTGGACTCCAGAGACTGAAGTGTCTAGACCCTGTGTGATACCAGATCATCATAAATTTGGATGCTGAACTAGTTGAACATTAAAGACCAATTAGTCATGCTGTTAACATATGGATTTTAACCCTCGCAGCAGCACTTAATTGATGAAAAAGTAAAAAGAGGCATATTTATTGCTGTAGAATGTAGCCTGACTGCATTACAGTGATACATCAAGAGGATCCAACAGACCTTTAAAGATCTCCACACATATATTTGTAAGCAGGGGCTAGCTTACGTATCTTACTTGGAAAGAATCACTCTCACACAGTGTGGAATTCACCTAGATCCTTTATATAAATCTTAAGCAGATTTGTTGAAAAAAACAAGGAAACTGATCTTTGGCATTGATATATATACAGCATATACACTGCTCCAAAAAATTAAAGGAAACCGCCTGGGATATTGATCTGGTCAGTTAAGTAGCAGAGGGGGTTGTTAATGAGTTTCAGCTGCTTTGGTGTTAGTGAAATTAACAACAGATTCATTAGATGGGCAACAATGAGACAACCCCCAAAACAGGAAAAAAAAACATGGTTTTACAGGTGGAGGCCACTGACATTTTTTTCCCTACTCATCTTTTCTGACTGTTTTTCGCTAGTTTTGCATTTGGCTAGGGTCAGTGCCACTACCGGTAGCATAAGGCGATACCTGGACCCTACAGAGGTTGCATAGGCAGTCCAGCTTCTCCAGGATGGCACATCAATACGTGCTATTGCCAGAAGGTTTTCTGTATCTCCCAGCACAGTCTCAAGACTGGACAGGGCCGTGGAAGGTCCTTAACCCATCAGCAGGACTGGTATCTGCTCCTTTGTGGAAAGAGGAACAGGATGAGCACTGCCAGAACCCTACAAAATGACCTCCAGCAGGCCACTGGTGTGAATGTCTCTGAAAAATCAATCAGAAACAGACTTCATGGGGGTGGCCTGTGGGCCTGACATCCTCTAATGGGCCCTGTGCTCATTGCCTGGCACCATAGAACCCGATTGGCATTTGCCATAGAACACCAGAACTGGCAGGTCTGGCACTGGCACCCTGTGCTTTTCACAGATGAGAGCAGGTTCATCCTGAGCACATGTGACAGACGTGAAAGAGTGTGGAGAAGCCATGGAGAACGTTATGCTGCCTGTAACATCGTTCAGCATGACCGTTTTGGTGGTGGGTCAGTGATGGTCTGGGGAGGCATATTCATGGAGGGATGCACAGACCTCTACAGGCTAGACAATGGAACCCTTACTGCCATTAGGTATCGAGATGAAATCCTTGGACCCATTGTCAGACCCTAGGCTGGTGCAATGGGTCCTGGGTTCCTCCTAGTGCACGACAATGCCTAGCCGCATGTGGAGAGAGTATGCAGGCAGTTCCTGGAGGATGAAAGAATTGATACCATTGAATGGCTACCACGCTTGCCAGACCTAAATCCAATAGAACACCTCTGGGATATCATGTTTCAGTCCATCGGACACCCGCAAGGTTGCACCTCAGACTATCCAAGAGCTCAGTGATGCCCTGGTCCAGATCTGGGAGGAAATACACCAGGACACCATCTGTGGTCTCAAAAGGAGCATGCCCGACATTGTCAGGCATGCATTCAAGCACATGAAAGTGTTTTGTCGCGAAGACGTGTGTATGAATGGATAGAGAGGTTCAAGGAAGGTCGTACAAGTGTTAGCCATCATGAAGGACCTGGACGCCCAACCACATCCACAACCGATGACAGTATCCTCCCTATAGTCCTGATCTTGCTCCATCAGACTTTCACCTGTTTGGTCCCCTGTAATAAATAATATTAAAACGAGCACTGGGTAAAAAAGATAAAGCTGCTGGCATAAAAAGGTAAAACCTCTAAAACCTTCTCATAGAATCATAACATATATATATGCAGCGCTGAAGAATATATACAGTCAGGTCCATAAATATTGGGACATCGACACAATTCTAACATTTTTGGCTCTATACACCACCACAATGGATTTGAAATGAAACGAACAAGATGTGCTTTAACTGCAGACTGTCAGCTTTAATTTGAGGGTATTTACATCCAAATCAGGTGAACGGTGTAGGAATTACAACAGTTTGCATATGTGCCTCCCACTTATTAAGGGACCAAAAGTAATGGGACAGAATAATAATCATAAATCAAACTTTCAATTTTAATACTTGGTTGCAAATCCTTTGCAGTCAATTACAGCCTGAAGTCTGGAACGCATAAGACATCACCATACGCTGGGTTTCATCCCTGGTGATGGGGCCAGGTCTCTACTGCAACTGTCTTCAGTTCCTGCTTGTTCTTGGGGCATTTTCCCTTCAGTTTTGTCTTCAGCAAGTGAAATGCATGCTCAATCGGATTCAGGTCAGGTGATTGACTTGGCCATTGATAACATTCCACTTCTTTCCCTGAAAAAACTCTTTGGTTGCTTTTGCAGTCTGCTTTGGGTCATTTTCCATCTGCACTGTGAAGCGGCGTCCAATGAGTTTTGAAGCATTTGGCTGAATATGAGCAGATAATATTGCCCGAAACACTTCAGAATTCATCCGGCTGCTTTTGTCAGCAGTCACATCATCAATAAATACAAGAGAACCAGTTCCATTGGCAGCCATACATGCCCACGCCATGACACTACCACCACCATGCTTCACTGATAAGGTGGTATGCTTAGGAAGGTTCCTTTCCTTCTCCATACTCTTCTCTTCCCATCACTCTGGTACAAGTTGATCTTGGTCTCATCTGTCCATAGGATGGTTCCAGAACTGTGAAGGCTTTTTTACATGTCGTTGGCAAACTCTAATCTGGCCTTCCTGTTTTTTGAGGCTCACCAATGGTTTCCATCTTGTGGTGAACCCTCTGTATTCACTCTGTAAGTCTTCTCTTGATTGTTGACTTTGACACACATACACCTACCTCCTGGAGAGTGTTCTTGATCTGGCCAACTGTTGTGAAGGGTGTTTTCTTCACCAGGGAAAGAATTCTTCGCTCATCCACCACAGTTGTTTTCTGTGGTCTTCCCGGGTCTTTTGGTGTTGCTGAGCTCACCGTTTCCTTCTTTTTAAGACTGTTCCAAACAGTTTTTTTGCCACGCCTAATGTTTTTGCTATCTCTCTGATGGGTTTGTTTTGTTTTTTCAGCCTAATGATGGCTTGCTTCACTGATAGTGACAGCTCTTTGGATCTCATCTTGAGAGTTGACAGCAACAGATTCCAAATGCAAATAGCACACTTGAAATGAACTCTGGACCTTTTATCTGCTCATTGTGATTGGTATAATGAGGAAATAACACACACCTGGCCATAGAACAGCTGAGAAGCCAATGTCCCATTACTTTTGGTCCCTTAAGAAGTGGGAGGCACATATGCAAACTGTTGTAATTCCTACACCGTTCACCTGATTTGGATGTAAATACCCTCAAATTAAAGCTGACAGTCTGCAGTTAAATCACATCTTGTTCATTTCATTTCAAATCCATTGTGGTGGTGTATAGAGCCAAAAATGTTAGAATTGTGTCAATGTCCCAATATTTATGGACCTGACTGTACATATATATATGTTATGTTTGGTCCCCTGTTTGGGGATCATCTACCTGCATTTATGCTTTGTGACTCCTTGCGGGTCACAGTTTGAAGGTGAGCGCGAACACTAGGTGGTGAAGGATCGCCTGTTTGTCCGTGGTCACTGATTTTTCACGGCTTTGTGCTGAAGATACACACACAGTTTGTGTTTGTTTGGGAATGTTTTTTTGTCTTTTTTTGCCACCTATTTCTTGCCATTGATCGTATTTTTTTTTGTCATATACTCTTATGTATTTCATTCACTGAACACTTGATGTTTTTTTACATTCACTATTTGGCCACGTTTTATCTTTGTTATTCAATAAATCACTCGGCAATTTATAACCTAAAAATAATTCTAATAGTAATTCTAATAGTGAATCCCAAAAATAAAGCCCAAGAAAAAGTCACACTTTCACCCTTGAAAGCAATTACTAGTAATAAAGCCTTTTCCTCAACCTCAACTCAATATTACAATCACACCAAAAATTATACAAATTAAATTAAAGTCCAAAAATTAGCTTCCAAAAATTAATTTATAATCCACCAAAAAATCTCAATCCTGTGTGTCCAACTTTATTATTCCAACTTTCTGGACCACGTGATACCTTGAA